TCGGTAAAAAAATGTCAAGCTAGGTATCTTAATTTAAAAACTCTATTAAAACCCACACATTATGTTACTAAAGCTTAGACTTCAGTTTTTAAAGCGCTCCGCCTTATTTTTGCAATTTTTCGGCGAACTCAAGTCATAAATCTCAGCGCTCATCAAAAATTAAATTTTTCGCAGACTAGAAAGGATTTGTGGAATATCCCAGCAGCTTTACATTATGAGGATTTTCACTAAAGATTAAAATTGCTTTCTTTGGAGGCAGACATTCCATACTATAAATATACGCCTGGATTCGCATTCACAGAATTTAAAACCACTCTGCTTCCACAACTTCTTTCAGTTAAAATATAAAAATGACATAATTAGTTCTTATCCAAAATTATTCTAAAAGTGACGACCTTTCGAGCACTTTTGGTTTGTAAGGTAAAATCTCTATTTAACTAAAAATAGACTTTATAAACATACATAGTACTCTAATTGAATAAGAAAAGGCCATCTAAGAGCTTAACGTTAATCCCGAGTCCATCCTCCCGTTTGTCAGTTAAATTACATCTCTAAGGATGAGCACAAACACATCTTCGTTGGAAGCTGGTTACAAACTACACGTTAAAAGGGACCTTCCCAACAGTCTACGTGTATGCCTCACTGATTAATTCCCATCTGTATAATTTGGAGCCATTGTTCGCAGTTCCATTAGTATCTCCCACTCTACGAAGTGGGAATAGACCATGCTTGTGAACAGTTTCAGAAACTAAGTTTAGTCACAAAATAGATAGTTTGGTGAAGCGGTAGTTGCAGCGGGACCTAGAGTAAAAATGTTCAAACAATAAGCATTTAAGGCCGGGTAGCAGAGAAAATGGCGAAAATGAGGTTTTCATTTTTCATTTTTGAGGTACCTACTAAACAGTAAAATTAAAGGCTAAGATTTTTATTGGGCATAGTTGAGGATATTTTCTAGGGCTATTAACGGATGGAAACACGATTTGATGAAGTTGACTCGATAGAATAAATTCCCAAAGTTACCTCTATTCGTTTTCTATTTATGGTTTTATTTTTAAAATAAGCGATTTGAGATTCTAAATCTTTTACTAAACTAAAGTTCAGAAATAACTTGAGGGCTTTTAACGGATGAAATTTTGAAAATGTTCAAACAGTTACATAGTATTTGATCATCTCTCTTCCACTTTTCTATGCCTATCAAAGGGAATGTGTTTAATTATTTTCAAGAGTTTAATGGTAGCAATACAATAAAATTTTAATTAAGTATGTAAATAATAACAAAAAAGAAGGTGAGAAAATGATGACGAAAATTCAGTGAGTGAAAAGTCTGTCCAGCCTTCAATTTCATGATTATTAGTAGTTTCCTTGAACGAATTTTCCTTTTGTGGCAGACTGTATACATTACTGTATCATAAGTTACTAATTTGAGAAATCCTCGTCTATTCACATCCACAACGTTGGGCAATTCAATTTAACGACATAAAAGTGTGCGCAAGACTAAATTCATTTCAAAAGAAACGTATTTTAGATAAGATATTTCGCAAGTAATTATTATTCAAATACCATGTTAACGCAGTGAACTCGAGTTTGCTGAAGGTAAAGAAATTACAAGTATGTGTGTGAGTATTAAGTGAAATTTGCCTGTTAACCTCGGTTAAACGTAATCTTACTTTGAGAGAAGTAATTTAAATATGGCGTCTGAGGCTGCCCGTGGGAAATGTTGGAAATTACATTTGTAAATAAGACGACATTTTAACATGCTGCCTACTTGCGAGCAATTGTGAATTTATGAAGTCGTAAGACGGCGGAGATTATGCGGTGTAAGATGTTACGTATTTTAATATGGAGGCAGACGTATTATTAGATTAGTACCTACGTTACTTACACTAGAAGAAAGAGACTAAATTTCACACCTTGTTTTACTTATTTAAAAAATATGAGCTTTACCAAAGGGGGTTTGCAGTGTGAACCTTATACTGGTCACAATGCCTCCGCTGTCCATTTTATCTATCTATCGACTGACTGTAATCTATTCCTAAGAAGTCAAGCAGAACTCTTCATAAGCAAGTCAGAATTACAATAAAATTGTCTGGATTTTAAAATCTGACAGACTATTTCTATCTTTTTCACCAAGCCCTGTAATGATAGCAACTGTACAGGTACACCCTCAGATCATAGAAGGGATCATTCTCTTTCTATGATCTGAGGGTACACCTTATCTTCTATCTAATATATAAAAGAAAGTCGTGTTAGTTACTCCACTTATAACTCAAGAACGGCTGAACCGATTTAGCTGAAAATTGTCAGGGAGGTAGTTTAGAGCCAGGAGAAGGACATAGGATACTTTTTAACCCGTTCGAAATTAAAAAAAAGTCTGCTTATTTATTGCCATTAAGGCGGAACAAAGTTCGCCGGGTCAGCTAGTTTTCTATAAAACAAACTTCATGCAAGATATAGTACCTACTTGGCATTACCGAAATAAATTAAAATAGGTCTGTATAGAGACCGCTTCAAATGAGATTGGTTCATTATTATAAGCCAGCAAACAGCTGGGCCGGGAGCGAAATAGTTATGGCAATAAGAGTGACTCTTATTTCATTTTCTTTCATAGCTTTCGGTCGAGCCCCTACAGAGGGAGGGTTGCACTGAGTTACCCCTTAAATTTTATTGTTTCAACGAACATTGCCGCTTTAATGAAGATATTAATTAAGTTTACTTATTTACGACTATACTGAGTGGCACTTAAGGACGATAATTAGTCGAATAGGTATTTTGAATACAAAGCAGCTCAAATTTTCAATAAGGCCAGCAATGGAGCGTTTGCGTGCTTTGCCCCGGGTTTTTCATTATTTATTAATTTTCATAACATTATAGTCGTTGAAGGGATAAATTTTATATAGCCCCGGGATAAAGAATTAGCTATTCAGAGGGGGATTTCGGTGCGTATGAAGTATTCATTCTGCAAATGTATTTGCATTGGAGATTGATTGGACGTTGGTCTAAATTATTAAGACGAATCCAGGAAAAAATCAAATTCTTCCTTATCTTCAAATTGAGTGGATTTGAACCTGACCATTTAGTGCTTATTATACCTAACTACATACATTAATCCACTAAAGTGGAGGAGGCTCATAGTCCAGCAGTGAGTTGTAAAGGGCTGTTGATGGTGATGATGATGATAACTACATACAAAGTAGTAAGCGTTTTGCGAAAAATATTTTTATTTTGGGCAGTGGCCAGCCCACGCTTAGACAATATTATGGACTTTGAAGGCAATTTTTCCTACCGTTTCTAGTCATATCCAGCTGACCTCTTGCTATACAACCCTGAATGGTTCTATCATAGAAGTAGATCTTATTTAATAAAGATTTAACTATTCCGTTGTGAATCACTTGCAATTAACTCGATTCTCTCCTCAGGTGCTAAGATAATGGCACTGGTTTGAATTTCCATAAAAACGAACTTTCCGAATACGTTTAAACTGGAAACAGACATAAAACAAGAGTTGTTAAAAGAAAGAAAAGAGTAAAAAACACCAGTAATTACGAAATGCAAATCAGAGGAGCGTTTCAGAGAGCCGTGTTCTATTTCAAAACCTCATTAAGCTTTGCAAATCTTACATAAATGATAATTATTTTGTACGCCGATCTTCGGTGCTTAACTGAAACAGATGTTTAATTTTTGACTATTTCTTATTTCTGCAGAAAAGTGAATTCGAAGTGCTGAAGATAAGGAAGTTCGAAGGAAGGGATACCTTTTATCTACCTGAACCTGAAAAAAAATTGTTTAAGTAAGTAGCTAGCGTACTATTGTATATTTCTAGTTTTTGCTACTTTCCCTTGGTAGGTACACACACACACACTCATAATAATTTGCCCAAAATGTAATTTTAAAAATGCACACTTCACTTGGAAGCGTTGCGCCTACTTACCTACTTACTCGCAGGCTTAGTATGTAGGTACCTACTTACTTAGGTAAATGTAATGAAACAGACCTCTAAGTAGGTATTTGGAGGCAGTTCCTTTGCAACCGGTCCAAAGTAGACGCACTATGTGGAACGCTGTTTGATTCAGAATGCTGAAGATGCCATGAAGTGGATCTTAAGGAAATGCAACGACAACCCTTTGCATAATAAAGCTTCTCGGATAAGAAAGCGTGGTCATGCGTCGTGGCGCGATGGTGCATAATACCATGAAACTTAATGCAGGCATGCACACGGGCCACTCGCAAGCTTAACGAGTCGAGGCAAAGAATAAAAACTAAACTAAACAGAAACGACGCTCTTCCATGGTAAACAATTATCTGACCTATTAACTATTGCCGATTGATAGCACCAGAGGATGGTGTAGGTACCTACATAATACTTTCTGGAGTGGAGTGGAGGCCACCACGTACCGTTAAGCGCAGCGTAGGACGTCCACCCACAAGGTGGACCGACGACCTCATAAAGGTAGCAGGAAGGCGCTGGATGCAGGCCGTCACCAACCGGCCATTGTGGAAATCATTAGGGAGGCCTATGTTCAGCAGTGGACGTTCTATGGCTGAATGATGATGATGAACAGTTTTTTTACCTGACAGTCTAGTATGTGTACTAAATACTACCTGGACTTACGTGAAAGAGATCATCGGTAAAAAGCCAGTGATAACTCTGCACAGTTACCTAATCTATGATCACGTTTTTGTACGTGGCTACGTGGATTAGTAGCTGTATGAAATGCCTAGTCTCTTGCTGAAAAGTAATTACTTACTTACATACATCCAAGACGACCACCATAACATACCTAAGACGATTTGGTAGTCTATGCCCGTTTTCACCATCAATCCCTAATTTTTAAGTGACCCCTATGGCAGCAAAATTCCTGGTATTACCATAGAGGTCACTTCAAAATTAGGGATTGAAAAAAAAAAAGTTTTTAAAATAATGTTGGCCGTATATAGTCCAAAGCTAAATATTAAAAATAAAAAAAATGACAACCAACTTTTCCTAATCTGTGGTAATTTTTTTGAGGTTATTTTTGTTTGTTGGTGTTTTGTGTTATGAAATTTTGAAAATTTCTTGGAGATCGATCGATTTATTATTTCCTCAAGTACCTGATTAAAATAAGTTCAAAATGAGATTTACAGTTAAAAACGTAGGCATTGGTTGCGAGCGCACTGGTATATTGACCGGTTTCACTAAATCTAATGTTGTTATTGAAACACCTACTGCCGCACTTCTCACCCAGGTAATTGTTATAATCCAAAATAACCTTATATCTGGTGGATAGAGAGCTATAGTCTATATTAACACAATAGTTTAGGTTAGACTTGTCAGAATATCATAATAAGGACTTAAATGCTAATTTCAGGGTGCCAGTGTCGTCAATCTAACAGCAGAAGTATTATCCAAAGTGTTCACCACCCCACAGTTACTGTGGGTGCCACTCTGCAACTCTTCACATCTAGAAAACGGTGTAAAAGCGCAGGGAGAAGGGATCGCCAAGTTTGCTGGACTGCCCAATCACATTACATGCACCACACTGCATAACACTAATGAATTGACCCAGAAGGGTCATTTCGAGGGAAAAATGGCTCCTCTGTGGACTAAGCAAGGGAAGAAAATGATAACAGCTGATCGGTATGTAAGCTTTGTTTTTTTTAAATTATAGCATCGTCTCTGTAGCACTTTATTCAAGGACATAGCTGTAAGCTGGCAATTTATTTATGGACTTCATTGTACGGTTTGATGGATTTTTATAAATACAAAATGAATGTGTACATACTTAATTACACAATTATTATTTTTTGAATTAGTTTGTATGCATCTTGGAATCTCAGTTGACGATTCATTCATCAAATCAAATGCAAATGGCTAGTAAGCAATCAATGATTGTTATTGTAAAGTTTAAGTTTTATGATTCAACTAACACTAGTTTTATTTTTACACAAATCTAACAAAAAATGTAAATATTAAAATAACTTAATGTTTCAGATATATGGATTACATGGAAGCATTCAAACCGGATATTATGTTGGCGATTGCAGATGGTCGCACCACTTTAGCTGATGGTTACAAAAGAAATGTTAAAGCCGTTGAGAGGAGCCTTTTCTATTTTGATACTTGCATGTATCGATATAAAGCCTCAGATGCATTAAAAAGTACAGCACTTGTAGGTAAAGTCATTGTTTTCCTCAAAATATTTAACTGTCCAATTCTAATACACCAAATGCCTAAAAATATGGGCAGTGAATGTCTGTCTGTGTGGAAACTTCTAATTAAATAATAGGTAGTTATTATTCTGTCTAGAATACTGTCCACATAATAATTATAATGTTTATAGTCTTATCACCAGGAAAAAGTGTTAAGTATTTATTTTTATTTTTATTACAGTAATTCTATTATGTATTTTCCAGGTGTAATAGTTGGTACTGGGAATCCCAAAAAATGTTCTGATTGTATTGATCACATTTTAAAATACAAAGATCACCTACTTGGTATTGCATTAGCAGGCATAACCGATGGAACGGAAGAGTCGATGAATGTGCCAGTAAAAGATTTGGAACATATATTTCGGACTGTTGGTGTAAGTATACAAATATTGCTCCTAGTGTGCTGTTCTGATAGGATTTGCAAGAACAAAGTGTATCTTTAAGTTGTTAATTTGGAGAATATTGATAGTCAACCTATTTGAAATAATGTATGATTTATTAATTGCAAACTTAACATTTTATGTATCTAATTGCTGTGCGTAATGCCTCATTATTGCTTAAGAAGCTATAAAAATATTGTTTAGTTGCGTAAACAATTAGTCATAAAAACAGAGCTTATCATTGACTGTCAATTACTTACTTGATAAAATATTGCATTCAATGTGGTCTGATAACAGATTAGGAAAAGCAAATGTGTGTCACAATACTAAATTAAACTTGTTTTGATTAATTTGGTTTTTATGACTGGATATTTACTGCGTTAAAAATACATTGTAAGACTTGTTAATAACTTATTTATCTTTGATTCTTCAGAAAGCTCTCCCCGACGATATGGTACACTTTGTAGAAGGCTGTTGGAACCCTGAAATTATCATGATAGCCATAGAACATGGCTGGGACGTATTTGATGGAACTTACCCAGTAAAACTGACCAATTCTGGTCAAGCATTGGCTTTCAATTTTGATCTCACCCAAAATAATGAAGACATGTGCATATTAGATCTGATTGATGAAAGGTGAGTGTTAATTAATTTATTACACTTGGCAAAACTTGAGCTTAAGTTTTACGAACCAGTTTAAAAGTCCAGTAATTCCAGACACTCATCGTACGGTCTCAAGTATAATAATTTCAGTTCATTTCAGCTTTGCCGCACATTTCTCGTCTCCGCACCCCTCCGCCTTAGTGGAAACCGGGCCTTAGTGCTAGAGTGAATTACGCCCGTATTCACAAACGATACTTGCTTAAGTGAAGCAGAAAATGTACGCACAGCGTTGAATAGATCTGGTTCGTTTGTCATCCTGTGCGTCCACGCGCACTGTGACACCTCATAGCTATGTTTGTGAATATGGACGATAGTGCCCGAGCTAATTAGTCTTTATTTTATAAGCTCTTCAACGTCATTGGATATTTTTATGGCATATTAGAAATAACTATGTCATATGACATTTCAATATTTAATCGTATGAAAACCTAACAAGTCATTTCAAATGTTTCCAGGTATAGCGACGAATTCAAACCTATTTTGAAAGGCTGTGAGTGTCTCACGTGTAAGAAACATACTAGGGCATACATTCGGCATCTTCTGAACACAAGGGAAATGCTATCAAACGTCTTACTGAGCATGTGAGTATTTATATGAATTTATTAGCAAAATGAAAAGGTTTTTTTATAATTAATATCAGTAAGACTAGTCGCACACCGTTGATTTTTCGTCGGCCGATACCTACTTTAGTCGGGCAGTTGATCAGTATGGGCATGTATGGGAGTGCGCACACTACGCGATTCGATTTGGCCGATTCTTCATACAAATTAAAATCGGGCACAACTATCGGCCAACTAAAAATCAACGGTGTGCGCCTACTCTAAAAGTAGCATGACAAAATTGACAGTGCAGTGATAATAGACTGCAACATTCAAACACTGTTTAAATAAATTGTTGATTCAAAATATCACCTATTGCAATTTCAGGCTGTGAAAATATGCTATTACAATGATTGAAGTTGACCAATCACAGGATTCAGTTAATAGAATGGGTCTAAGAAGTCTAACATTATACCTATTTGGTTTCAGACACAACCTGCATCATTTCGACCAGCTGTTCGTTCACGCTCGACGTCACATCGCAGAACGCACATACGAAGCGTACAAAAACCATATAATTACACAATTTAGACTATTGAAGGAACAACAAACAGAAGTGAAAAAACCTGAAGTCCCTGAGAAAGAAATTGAACAGATGAAAAAGAAGATGTGTGTGAGTAACGGGGACTTACCCAAAGTAGTTAACGGTAGTGGTTAGTGTAACTTGATGTACAACTTTAGTGAGAGTAGATGTAGTTTTGTTTGTACTTACGTTTAATTATCCAAGACTAGTATCCTAATACTAAACAAGCTGTAAAAATGAATTGTATAGATACTTACTAGTGCGTTTTGTCGGTTATTAAACGTTGGAAGTGATATTTTGTCGACTACAATATTCGTAGGCTTCGTACATTTGCTCCTCTCGCTCGCTCACGTTGCGATGATATGAGATGGTGATTTGTAAGTTAAACTTTTTTGTGAATAATATCACAGTTCAACAGAGCTTGTCTAGTAGAAGTAGTTCATATAAGTCTTTTATTGATTCATTTAGAAACATGTACCATTTTTTAAAACATTGCTCAAACTGTGCGAGTTTTTTTTCATGTTCAGAAAATGAGACTGGCCATAAACGTTCTGTGATTTTTATTTGATTGGAAAGCAAAAATTCTTGATGCTGTAAAAAGATACATTTTTATAACTATCAGCCTGTCATATTAGTGTAAGATTATGATTAAAATTTAAGATAAGTGAAAAGAAATCGAACTAGATTCTACAAAGTAGGTAGGTATAAAAATTCTATAATAATTTACAAATAATTCGAAAAAAAAGATACATCATTTAACAAGATAATTCATTCATTGCATTTATTTTAATGGGTTGTAACTTGTAACTTAAAACACTCTTTTTCAAAACATAGAATTTCCAACTCCATAAACCACGGGCATGATCATAGTAATCCATGAAACATAGTTTTTACGTTTCTAACAAATGTCAGTTAAAACATACTGTGATGTTTTACCGGCTAGATTGCATAAATGAAACCAACAAAGTAATAATAGCTATTTACCTACTAAAATAGGATAAAAGATGTTCAAAATAACCAGAAAATTATGTAAAAACCTCACAATGAAGTGATGCAATTTTTCAGTTAGTTGGGTTTTTTGACATAATTTAACATGTTATATTAATTAATCGAACAGAAAACTAAAAAATATTGCAAGAAATGATATAAAAATTAGTATTCTAGATGCGGACTTTGTCTACTTGGTGAAATATTTGGTATATTTCTTGCGCTATCTTTAGCGCACTGATTCACATAGATTATTATTTATTAATTATTAAAAAAACCTATGATTTTTTAATGTTAGCAATTTACGAAAACCCCATTAAATGAACATTACGTAAAGTAAGTCTTGACAGCATTATAAAAAGTATGTCAATTGAATGATCAACTCCTTATCATATCTAAATTACGATTATTCGTGTCTAAAAAAGTGGTTGGTATTTGTTTTATTTCAATACAATAATTGATTAAAGAATCTATTGTTACTTTGTTGGTAAAATTAATAAAAACAGCTGCCATTTAGTGACGTATGTAAAATCGGAACACTCTTTTATTTAAGATTTAAGAAGTAAGTAGTATAAGTAATAAGTACTAATGCATAATAATATGTAGTTAGAACCGAGTTTACAGTATTTTTTTTCCAAAATCTGACCAAATCGAATTTTCATTTTAACCAAAAATATACGCTGCGATAACATTTACACTAGTACCTATAGTTATGTGAACTAATTTAATATGCTTGGAGTATAATATTAAGGTGTAACTAAATTGTTGTTTTAATTTATTATTTGTCGTATTATTAAGATGTAAGGCCTACAAATACCTGGCGCGTACCTATACATTCGGTTTTAGCACAGGTACAGACGACAGCACATCAAGCTTGTCACTGTCGTATTTTATACAATGGTAATAGGTGCTATTTTGTAACAAAAATGAATAGTTTGATGCGCTGTTGACTGTTTCTACCTATAGTCAAACGATTCTGAAACGTCAAGCGGTAAAAAATGAAACTAATATGGATGAACTACACTGAAATGTCCCACTAAACTCATTGACAGGGAGGCGCCACCATGTTTCAACTATACAGGATGTCCCAAAAATTAGTGTCAAACCGAAGCCCAGAGGCAGAGCATCACTAGGGCTATCCAAATCACCCCCATGTATGTTCTGCGATTTTTGATAGTGTTTGAGTTATGATTGTTTTTAATTTCTGTGCTTAGGCACTTTTTTGGTCACTGTGGCGCCAATAGTCAAGTTACATGCCTATTTTTTTTTATTGTTATTAGTGAAATACTAGGTCTAGCTGATTCAGAAGTATTTACATCCATAACACAAATGTAAACTAAAATCCTGTATGTTAAAAATCATAACTCGAAAACTATCAAAAGTCACGGTGATTTAAGTAGCCCTAGTGATGCTCTACATCTGGGCTTCGGCTTGACACAACTTTTTGAGACACCCTGTATAGTTTCCAACTTGCCAAAATTTGGAACCAGCGATCCGGTATTGACGGTGGCGCCCCCTGTCAATGTCACTGATGGAACGGACAATAATACAGTATTTATAGTAGCGTCCTCCTGTAAACGCCTTTATTACATTTTATGGGGCTCTTCAGTGTTGCCCACCGTGGCATAAATCGGAACTAATAATCAAATACGATAGTAGCGTCCTCCTGTCAATGTCATAGCTAAGACGGTGCAGTATTGGACAACTATACAAAATTATACTGCATAATGCAGAGCAGTGCAGCTAGAGACGCAATTTGCATAGAGCTGCCAATGTTATGGTAAATACCAACATCTGGGACACATTAACGAGAGTTTCCTTAATTGCGCTCACCAGTTGGCGCCACTGGACCTGATACGTTTAAAAGGACGGATACAGGTTCCGGTGCCATAAGAAGAACTTCAACTCCTTCAGTATTCGTTTCCTTTCTAAAACTTTGCAACTGTTGAATCGAATTTAGGCCGTTTTCTGACTTGTCGGCGCGGCAGCGCCACGACATCAGCACGCTCGGCATACGCGGCACCGAAAGCTTACCGAGCGCTTATACACTGGTCATCAAAAAAATCGACCCTCCCGCGACAAGCGCTTTCAAACGTATGCATCCCCACTTCCCACTAATATTGGCACCATTTAAAAACCTAGTTCTAAACTTCATTTCATTAAAGGAAAGGTTTTTACCCCAAAAATGTGTCTGTAGAAGAATCCATAGTCACTTCTTCAAAAAATAGGTAGTTACGCTTGAGCCAACTTTTATGGCTATAAAACTGTTAAGTTGGGATTAATCGCTATCAATTTTTTAAAGAGGACACGTGAGATCATTATTTGGTTTTATAACCATAAAAATTGGTCTAATTGATCCCAGAGGTGAGCCCAAAGTGAGGTCTTTTTTAAAGTCATATTTATTGTATATGTTAATCGTTTAAATTGTTTATTAAGAAATTAAATGTGATTTTCTTTAAGGATATTTATTGGGCTTTCAAATAACACCAATATTGTTGGGGCACCATGATTGTGTCAGTAGAAACGAGTTTTTCTGTAAAACGTAGGTGGGCCGATTTTTGTGATGACCAGTATATTTCAATGGAGCGTTCCTGATTGAGTCTGTGCCGCGCCATGTTGAATGGAGTAATAAAATATGCTAATGTGTTAAAAAGTAGGAGGTTCTCCATTCGACTGTACGTTTTTGCGCCAAGTTCATATGATGCTTTTGAGCTTTGCAAGGTGCTGCTTTAATTTAATAGATAAATATTTGATAATATGCCTTGAATATAAAGTAAATTTTACTTGCAATGATAAATAAATAAATACGGCTTACATTTTACCTACGATTTAGCTTCGTGTTTAACACGCATTGGCCTACTGATATTATTAGTTCTCTCCTTGTCGTGTTGGGTATGTGCCAGTAGTGTGATGTTTATGATAAGTATTAGATAATAGTTCATTGTGATATGTGTTGATTAGTTTAACCGATTGTAATTTAAGGCTGATTTGCACCAACTTTGACCGTAACTTTAACGATAACCGGTGTTTTTGTATGGAGTTTGACAGATTTTTAACGTTTGTCAAAGTTAAAGTAAGATGGTGCAACCCAGCCTAAGTTTAGGGTTTCATTTATAAAAAACAAAAATGTTAACAGAACACCATCGAGCACATCCCAATAGAGTGGAAACTTAAATCTCATGTAATTTTTTAGACTAAAAATACGCCAACATTGTTTGACGATGTGGTCAGACTAAATTAGTTATCTAAAAAAAGATGATTATTGATTTAATATTAAAATTATTTTACCATACCATGGAGTATTATACAGGTGTGGTTTTGTAAAACAACACCCATCTCAGGGATGGTAGGTAGTACATGAAAGAAAGTAATTTCAAAAAAATATAAAATAATTATTTAGCTATTATTTTATTAGTAAAAAACCTTGTTCAAATGTATCCTAAAACCCACCCGCGTAATAATACCATAATTTCCTGATTTCGTGGACTTTTACATGAGAATTTAAAATATTTTTTTGGCATCATTGTTTATACTACCACCCCTAAGATGCGCGTTGTTTTACAAAACCACACCCTGTATAATCACTTGCCAAAATGGCAATAGTTTGTCTATTTAGCATTGCAAAATCAAGGTAATAAAAGCGAGATTTGATTTAAGTTTCATGACATGATGTCATATTCTACCGTACTATTGGGTGTGCAAAATATTTTACCTTGACTTATTAGGTATCATTGTTCTAATCTTGTATAGATTCTTAATTATTTTGACTTTTTGTTTAAAATTCTTCATCTCCTTATTTTATTTTGAAGTTAACGCATTTTTAAATTACGCATTTATAAACTGATAATTTTACGTGCAATTGTATTGAGCTCGTGTTTTAATCAATAAATAATAATAATATCAGAATTTTGAAGTTTTTTGTGTATGTGTGTGTGCATTGTCGTATGTTTCGAACTACTCAAAGCAATGTGAATTTCAAATAGCTATTTACATAAAGAAAACTATAGTTAGGCCGTATACAGAAAGAAAGCTGGAAACTTATAAGCGCTTACCAGCGCTTGTCACCGCTGGTCCGTTCGTTCACAAAGGAAGCAAGTTGAATGGCATTTTATATGGCAGAGTCCAGCGCTGGCCAGCGCGTGTTGAAACTTGTCGGCGCCGTTCAGTGCTTATCCTCGCGCGTTCATATATTTTCCTTCGCGGGTTACCAGCGCTGTCAAGCGCCGGTAAGCGCTTATAAGTTTCCAGCATTCTTTCTGTATACGGCCTTAGGGTGTAGCAAAAACGGTGCAGGACTTAGCCGAATTTTCGAAAGCATTTTGAATGGAGCTGATACTTTTCTAAAATATTGACGAATTTAGTATGGACTATGGACTTAGAAAAATGTTCAACTTTTTTCTATCTAGAGTAGCAAAGGAGATGCAGGACTTAGCCGAAGAATTAGCTGGATTACAAAATACTAGGTTAGGTTAAACTGGTGAACCTTACCCAGTGCTAAGTCTAGAATTATTTTTAGTAATTTTTCGCATTTTTCCATATTAAAAAGTCCAAACTCCATTCTAAATTCGTCAAACTTTTTCCAAGTGCCAACTCAATACCAAAGGCGTTCGAAAATTCGGGTATGAAACTTGTTCGTATCTCGAAAACGGTGCGTTCTAGGGCAAAAATAAGGTCACATTGCCCCCCCGTAGATCCCAAGGTCGGTCAGGGTACTATCCCATGAGAAAATAAAAAAGTCACTTTTCGCATTTTTTGCATTTTTCCAAATCAAAAAGTCAAAACTCCACGCTAAATTCGTCAAAATTTTTCCAAGTCCCAACTCCATTTAAAATGTGTACGAAAATTCGGCTGTGTAGGAAACTTGTTCGTATCTCGAAAACGGTGCGTTCTAGGGCAAAAATAAGGTCACATTGCCCCCCCGTAGACTCTCAGTTCGGTTAAGGTACTATTCCATGAGAAAATAAAAAAGTCACATCGCATTTTTTGCATTTTTCCAAATTAAAAAGCCAAAACTCCATGCCAAGTCCCAACTCCATTTAAAAAGTGTACGAAAATTCGGCTGTGTAGGAAACTTGTTCGTATCTCGAAAACGGTGCGTTCTAGGGCAAAAATAAGGTCACATTGCCCCCCCGTAGACCCCCAGCTCGGTTAAGGTACTATTCCATGAGAAAATAAAAAAGTCACTTCGCATTTTTTGCATTTTTCCAAATTAAAAAGCCAAAACTCCATGCCAAGTCCCAACTCCATTTAAAATGTGTACGAAAATTCGGCTGTGTAGGAAACTTGTTCGTATCTCGAAAACGGTGCGTTCTAGGGCAAAAATAAGGTCACATTGCCCCCCCGTAGACCCCCAGTTCGGTTAAGGTACTATCCCATGAGAAAGTAAAAAAGTCACTTTTCGCATTTTTTGCATTTTTCCAAATTAAAAAGTCCAAACTCCATGCTAAGTTCATCAAATTTTTCCTAACTCACAAAAGGCGTTCGAAAATTCGGGTGTAGGAAACTGACTTTTTTTTGGATTGTATTTTCAAAATTTTAGTCTTATAGTTTCGATATGTCTGTCTGTCGTCTGTCCGAGGTTTTGCTTGAAAACTATTGGCACTAGAGAGCTGTTATTTTAGAGCTGTAATTTTATTTGATCGCTATATTCGCCCTTATCGTGAAAAATAAAATTAAGTGTCATTTTTAGTGCACCCCCTTTGCGACACCGAACCCGTATGGCATCATTCATTTGTTATCAAATTCACTAATTTGAAAAAGTCAGGGTCAAATAAAAGAAATGATTTAACACATTTTACATATATTTTACTGACAATATTTACACAATAATTTTAGTGACCACACTTATTGAGCTAGGCATGTATGAAATGTGCATCAAGATTTATTTTAATGTAATCGTATTACATTACAAACAAGTTAATATTATTTTAGGAGATTTGGCAGGATTTTGCACGACAAAGTCACATTCCAAATACACGGTAATTTAATCATTACTATGATAAAAATATTAATTACAATATTGTATGGTAAACACAACCAGTACATAAAATATAATATAAATATTAAACCTTAGTAATGAACAACAATTTTATATAATTCAAATAAATACAGGGCAACAAATAGTATGTGACTTAAATTTTATCGCTACAGATTTGCTATCGGTCAGTACCAATTACTATGGATTTGGCGACATTTATATTTCACTAGTTTTGGCACATATAGCATTGATTTTACTAGCCTATTCTTTAGTGTGTCATTTATCCATTTCATTAATAAATAAATAAATTTATACCTATAGGAAAACATCCGAAATAAATGAAGTGACCAGTACGTCTTTTAGTTTATCAAAATATGTATATTCAGTACAAAGTTTTAAGTTGAGAACTAAACTGCAAACTCGCTAAATAAGTACATCTCACTGTATAAAATATAAGCTGCGTAGATATGCGTATTTGTGCCTGAATTAAGTGGTTGTAATAACTGTAAAGGTTATTAAGCGATCATACCCTTAACTAAATTGGAATATAAAAATTGTAAACTCTATTATAAATAATTACAATGCACCAGGCATATTGTAAAATATTCGAATTTCTATTATATTCACAGTCTAAAGAGAAAATCATAGAAAACTCTTCCCACCTAATGTCTAAATGTGATACGCATAGTACAAAAGCTTTCAACGATCTCAAGGTACATTCGACCGCACTTCATTCTTATGCAATAGGTGTTATTTTGCAATGAAAATGTATAGTGCAGTCGACTGTATTACTGTTTGACAATGATTGCGGTTGAGATCCATCCAACGCGAGCCCAACAGAACTTGGTTCCAATAAGCATCACTCGTCCCATTGCACTAATGCTAACTATTTTAGAGTTTACTACAAAATGTTAGCTCATGTCCCATTCACTGGTTCACACTATTTAAGTATCACATGTCCTTCTTTTTCTTTTCACATTTAATGACGCACTAATGTATTTGCTGCCGGCTTGTACACTATACAAAGTCATTTGTACTGGGTGTGTTGAGTGGTTCTTGGGCCTGGAAAGAAAGAAATAAATAATTAGTTTATTTCATGTCATTATGAGCCACATGTTCACAACTTTAATTGGCTATTGACCTTATGTGAATAAGGTTCAAAATGTGGTGGCAACTTTATTCTTATTGTTTCAAAAATGTATATTGACGTCAGAAATGCCAGTTTGAGTTGGCCATAAAGGCAAATTGTTGACATTTAAACAACTTTCGTTGATTAATATCTACGTAGCAAGCTACACCTTACACGCGCAAAGAAAATAATAAGTAGCTACAAGAAATTATAGTTATCTATACTTATAATAAATCTGTAGAGAGGTCAATTCTGTACATGAAATATATTTTCAAAATAACTATCAGGGGGTGATTAGTGATCGATACTGATGCCAAAAAAGCAATCAGTAAAATTTTTGTCTGTCTGTCTGTCTGTCTGTCTGTCTGTCTGTCTGTATGTTCCTTATAGAAACAAAAACTACTCGACGGATTTTAACGAAACTTGGTACAATTATTCTTCATACTCCTGGGCAGGTTATAGGATACTTAGGAATTCCCACGGGAACGGGCATTAGCGGGAAAATCCTTTTGTATGAAAAATCTAAACCGCTTAAGTTAGACGCTTGAAATTTGGCAAGCACGTACATTAGTAAACTTAAAGCTTAGTTATAACAGGATATTGCAAAATTCCTACAGGAACGGGAATTAGCGAGAAAAAACATTTGTATGAAAAAATCTAAGTCACGTAAGATAGACGCTTGAAATTTGGCATGCAGGTACCTTGGTAAATTTAAAGCTTAGTTACAACAGGATATTGCAAAATTCTCACGGGAACGGGAGTTAGCGGGAAAAAAACATTTGTATGAAAAAATCTAAACCGCGTAAGTTAGACGCTTAAAATTTGGCATGCAGGTACCTTAGTAAACTTAAAGCTTAGTTACAACAGGATATTGCGAAATTCCAACGGGAACGGGAGTTAGCGGGAAAAACCATTTGTATGAAAAAATCTAAACCGCGTAAGATAGATGAAGGGGGTAAAACGGGATCCACGCGTACGAAGTCGCGGGCGGCCGCTAGTACAACATAATTGGTAACTACATCTTTTAAACTACACATACAACTTACCGAGTTTATAGCCCTCGCATGTAACGCATGAAAAATAAATTCTCGGCAGTAAAATATTATCGATCTAGGGTTAAGCGTTAGCCAAAAATACCAAATAATACCATAAAATGACACTATTTCAAAAGGACTATTTACAGCATTATACACCTACCATTTAAAACCAATATTATAATTTGGCAACTATTCATTAATACTGATGCGGTAAAAATGTTGGCACATTTAAATTGCCCGAATCCTTACAATCTAAACGAAAATATTTTCTATAAATCCTTAAAATAATGCCTATTAAATATAACTCTAAATACATCAAGTTTTAAAATGTCTTAGGCAGACCTTAATTTTACTATAATAAAATAACCCTAAATAATCTTGTTTATTTACAATCTTTGGCCAAGTTAATTCTGGGGTCTTAAAACGTTTCATTGTACACGAGAAGTAGAAGTGACGTTCGAAAATAATTTTATTTATAGTAAAAATATATGAAAATTAAGATCTACGTGGGTCGGTGTTAACCCGTTACTTAATTGGCTCCTTTGTTGGAGGGGAGTTTGTTGTTTGGGGGCTTATCTAAGGCTGTTTTGTATGTTTAGGGTACACTCCATGGCGGTTAGGGCTCTCACCTCTTCTCCCACCGTGCTTGGGTACAGTTTGCTGCCCGGTGCGTAGCCATTCTTCTCTAAGGCGAACTGGTCCTCCGTAGTCTTGCGGTACACCGGGTTGTCGAAGTTCATAGAAGTGACGTTGCGATGCACGTAATGCCGGTACATAAGCACTGCGATCTGTAAAGGATAGAGGTATCAAATTAATTTACGTGCTATGCGAATTTTCTTGCTGCTTGCGTTTGATTACAATTTCTTATGGAATTTTCCAAACACAAAGGAATCGTTTGAAATGATAAGTGTGTTTAATTATTTTTTGTGTGTTGTTATAAAAGTGCAATTAAGCCGTGATTTAAAATAACGATAAGTAGGTAATCCTCTTTGTAATTGAAAATACCTAATCAATCAAATGTAGGTAATTGACATTGTCTGCTGCCAGACTTAAGTCCCTACTTATCTGCGCCACAGTATCAGTATTTTTTTTATTATACAGTAATTATTATGTTACTAACCACTCCATGTATAAACTGTTCAAATTACGACATTCCATATTGGGCACTAATGTGTTTTGGTAAATACGGATCCTATAATTTTCCGACAAGGCCTATAAGAACGGATGTGTTAAACGCGATATCAATTGGCGTCAATTAAGAAGGCTCTGTGATGAAATCGGACAATTAAACCATTGGCAGGGGCGATTCATCCATTGACGATACGAGAACATTCCTAACGACGCTCGTGCCTTATTGTTTTAAAAACTTGTGCGCTTTCATATAAACATTCGTCGAAACTAATTGTTCTATTGCAACTATTCAATAAAATCCACTTGGTTATATTTAAGTGGTAATTGAATCGATAACCGTATGTTTTGATTTAGAAAAGACTAAGTAGTTTTACCCGACTAGACTGCGCGATTGAAAATGCTAAACTAATTGTTAGAATCGATTCTGTATTACTGAACTAAGTTACTGTACTACTTTTTTTAAGTATTTTTTAGTTTGTTTAGGATCTTAAATCCTTTAGTATACTCATTATTATGGAGGTTGACAGTTAAAACATAATAGCATTCGTGACTACTAATTTAACATTCGTCATTAAAACAAAGTGATTACAGAAACGAACGCGCACAATGAGCACAATAAACTTGCATGCGCGATTCTAGAAAGCAATCATAATCTGACAACAGTATTTCGATCCTCATGACTGTTGAAATGCGATATGTTTGCATATTTTAGTCTGCAATCTGAGAACTTTAAGTTCTAAGCATGAAGCTACAGATAAAAATGGAGGGCAAAGTTGGGAACAAAACTTGAGTCAAATACCTACTTATATCTATCTCGCTCTCTGTGGCCCTACCTCTCTTTTTAGTGTGAACTGTAGTATTGCTATCTTCTTATTTAAATCTCCTTGTAAATTCTTCGAAATAGCAAATTCACTAACCAAATAAGAAGTTAAATAAATAAATAATTAATATTTGAAACTTAGATTACCTAGTTAAATAAAAAATCACAAAATTGTCGGCCATTTAGGCTTAATGTGTTGGCGAATCAGGGAATTACAATCCCAATTTCTGAGGTATCGGTAATGTGGCAACATCGGCCGAATCCGGCCCATCATGGCGGTTGTTTACTATGCAGTTGATTTCGTTTGAGATTTTTCAAGGGACCTTATCATTGTTTTGTCTGAAGAAATGGTGCAAAATTGTATAGTGCGTGGTTGCGGTAGTTCGTGTTGTCCTGGAAGTGATATAAAATTCCACGCGTAAGTGTTTATTTCGTGATTTCTGACAGTGGATCATTGTTAACATATTTCTTTGTATTTTCACAGTAATTACTTCCTAAAACGTTTTACCAGTATTTAAACTTATTATTAAATGTTACATATGTCAAGAAAAAGAAGATTTTACATTGAGTTTCATTGACTTTGAGCAAATTTAAAATTTTTGTTTCTATAAGACATTTTGAAGTAGTATGACCATATTGAGGATATATCTGGGACTTTCTGTGGGACCTTACTTATCTAATTTTGCATAATGTTTTCTACGGCCGTTTACTGTAATCAATCCATATCCAAATCCGTCTGTCAACTGCCAAATTAAAATCTGTTTTCTATCAAATATCCACAGTTTTCGATGCCTTTACACTTTCTTAATGTTGTAATTCATCTTAAAACAAAAACATCGAAAACCTTTTTTCATAATCATATTAAGTGCACTTTATCAAGACACACTGTTTAAACGTAAATCAGTCTTTGTCGTCCTGAGAAAAATAAATAAAAGGTTACCCTACTTAGAAAGAGAGAGCCTGCCCACAGAGAGCGAGATAGTGATACATAGGTTGTGCTTCAAGTAGGTATTCTAAGTCTGGCCTCCATTTTATCTTTAGCTTCATGGTTCTAAGTACGCTTAGTAACCTAGTGTCATTTTTGTTACTAACCATCTCCCTCACTAAGCTAGCTGTCAATTCCAGGGTGTGAGAAAGAGACAATTTGTGATGTGCAGACACTTCAGTCATTATAATTCAAGGCCAAAGATCAAACATTTCTCGCGATGCACAGTTTTAAATATTACGTCGCACCGTAATATGCTTTAATTTCGTCTATTGAACAGATCGTAACTTGTAATAATAATTGGGCTAATGGCTTAACCGTCAATTGTTGAAAGAATGGAGATTTATTAGTTTATACCTAGGTGACCGAGCTTCGAATAAAATTATCTAAAGTTAAAAATGTAGGAATGCAAAACGAAACATCCTAAACATTTTAATGTTTTTCGTTTTAAGCAGAATTCCAGATTCGGATAACCTAATGTCTGTTGGTAAAATTGCTAATTCCAGAGATAAGCTCGGGCTTTGGTGCCCCATAATTGAGGAGTGTCTATTCAAAAGGGGATATTTACATTTTTATTATTTATTAAACTGAGTATGCAGTCTTGTTCTTAGTGCTGAATACTAACTTTCGTCACTTAAATCTTAATCAAAACGGGATATTCTCCCAAGTNGCGTCCCTAAAAAAAAAAAAAAAATGCAGTGAATAATGTAGCGTAAAAATAATGAGTTGCTGCAGACAGCTGTATCTCTCAGGGCTAATGGGGTTAGTCGATTAGTTATTCCGTTATTAATAACGTTATTGTTATTTCGTGTGGGGTGTGGACTTGGATTAATAAAGCCTAGATGGATAGTAAGCGTAAAAAGCGGCACTTCAAACTTGACCTCTGGCTTTTTCCATACAACAAAAACAAAGGCAAATACCAGTGAAAACGTATATTAAGGTGAGTATAAACTAGTGTATTTCTATTTAATGTAACGTTCTTACGAATACAATACAGTTAAAATGTAGGACGATTGGTTCCTGACTGATGATATACTAAAACGTAGTGTGGGCAGGCTCCCTACTAGGTGGATCGACTATCTGGTGAAGGTCGCGGGAGGTGTCTGAATGCGAGCGGAACAGCACCAGTTGCTGTGGAAATCCTTGGGGGAGGCCTTTGTCCAGCAGTGGACGTCATTCGGCTGAAACGAACGATACACTAGTCTATCACATTTCATAGAGCAGCTCATTGTTCAGTTACATGTAAATGCGCTTAGTCGACAAGTACTTAGACACCTTAAGATGAAGAAGACATGATTTTTACTTCACTTTAGTTAGAGGAACTGCTCTTTTCACTACAATCCAGCTATAATTTATCTGGTCATGTAAAATTTAAAAATATAGTCACTAACCGATGTATTTAAGACTCAAAATTGTTTATCCGTCTCCCACAACCCTATATCCACCAAAGACAATATTGGTTAATGGGACCGCGCAGTCACTTGGGCCCAGCCTGGTCTTAATTAACCCCAGTAATTACTTGACGTTTACCTAATTTTAGCAAGCTTTTGTTACAGCATAAACTCATAATTAATATTGAAACTTCTAATTGAATTCCAGCTGTCTTGGTTCACGAATCTAGGAGATAAGATCAATTTTTAGAGCTCTTGAATACGTTAACATTAATGACTTCATTACGTAGCTTCTTTGATAATATTTTTTTTGTATGTAATCATTTATTATTAGTACATGATAAGTTACAGCTAATGATGTTTCATAATCATAAAAACATGATTAAGTATCACTGAAATGGAAGTAAGTACTAAGTTATAAAGTTGATGGTCAGTTTCTGTCCATTGTGTCCAATCAGTCATAATTTTTGGTGCTCTATTGATATACTACTTTTAAGGCCATTAAGTATGTTGTTTACCTATCAAAATTATTGTGCAAATAAATTTTGAATTGAATGCTTGTACTTAATGTAAACACGTAAATTGTCTATTTCACTTTTGCGCGAACGAATAATAATTTACAGCGTCCATTACACAAGAGCAATCCCGAAAACGCGCGAAAATACTCGCTTGCAATAAATCAAATTTCTCATACAACATAAAAACCAGACTTGGCTCGACGCATAAAAAATAAACGAAAGCCTAAAATATCGTGTGCGAGTTGCTAAATGACGGTCTAGAAGTCCCATTTAATTACACGGTGCCCACACTTTGGTTGGGAGCCAAAAAGCGTACATACATGCCTACGTGTTGTTGCTCTCACGTTCAAGGTATTCGATATAAGGGACCCTATTGATTGACCGAGGGACGAATATTTAAATTGCGTACCTCTACGACTTTGGGTGTCCACTGGTGAGCATACTGAAAACTCTTGCATTGACTTCTAGAACGATCTACTTTGGTAGACTGCATGAAATATCTGTCTGGTATTTAAAGTCTATTTAATTTTGTCACTTTTACGCATCACAATACCTCTCTACGAGTGAAAGGGACAAGTTTATTTATGAAACACGGAAACGGTGTCATTTATTTCTTTCGACTCTTTGAGTGGCTGCTGATTACCCCACCCCACTCATCTTACGGTTTGCTTTCCTAAATGAGTTTCTACTACACAATAACTCTTTCCTATTCGTGTTTTATCTGCTCTATTATATTTAGAAAATTTAATTAATAAAAATAATAATAAACGGGTATGAAGTTAAGCACTATTACCAGTTAAAATAGTAAGACACGGGTCTTAACGCGACGTTTATTAATGAGTTACATTATGTACTCACGGCTTGACGTTTCGGCTGCAATGCTGCAGCCGTGGTCACAAGCAGACTGGCGGTGTCTTACTATTTTAATTGAAATGAAACGCGA